AAAAAATTAAGATGATTTATTCTTTGATTCATCTAAAATAAAAAAATATATATATTCCTTAAAAACCATAATTTCTACTCAATTAAGAGGTGATTAGAGAATATATAATCCTCACCTCCACTTAATAATATGTATTCCCAAATCATCTCAAGATGAAATAAAAATGATAAGTATATATTAGGGTGTGTTCAAATTGATTAGTTTAAAAAAATCATCTTTTTTCACCATCTATTCTTATCAAATGAAACATATTATTAAGAAATGAATGTTGATTAATATACTTTTTGATTTAATTTATTATACAATATATTTATTAAAAAATTATTATTTTTATATAAAATTAAAAATAAATAAATTTAAAAATATAATTATATAAATAACATATAAAAATAATAAAATTAATTATATTTATATTATATTTTAATAAGTAAATCAATGAATTTGAAAAGCATGTCAAATCAAAGAGTACATAAATAATTTTTCTTAAGTAATACATATTTCTAGGCTTTGGGAGTAGTTTTTCAATTTTCCAATTGCTCTCAACCAAGGATAACGTTGATAGGTAAAACCTCGATATAAAGGGCATGATTATGGAAATTGTAAAATATTATCTTTAAAATTATTAATTTTGTTTAATTTAATTGATAAAAATAATTAATAATTATAATTATTAATTAATACATAATAAAAATAATTAATATTAATTAATAAATAAATTAAAATTAATTAACAAACTAATATTTTTAAATATTATTTTTAAAAAAAAATTAAAATTTGATCCTTTTAATAGTCACAATATCCAGCCACCTCTAGAGCTACTAGCCAGGTTCAACCAAATTTTCTTCTCAAGTATACCACCTTTTCGAGAGACTAAAACTTGCTTTTCGAGTGATACTTTTCTAACTTTTTAATGAGATCAGTTTAGAAATGGAATCAACTCGATTGAACCATCATAATACACGCGTTTATGAGATGATACATCCACGGAAAAGACAGAGGGAGGGTCGATCACGGAGTCGGCAGTTGCAAAACATGACTGGTCAGGCCCCTTTTAATAATAATAATGTTATTATTATTATTATTATTTTTTTAAGTACACGTAGTTCCTCTCGTGTCTTCAGTTATTGTTCTGAATTTTATATTAATGATAATTTAAATTTTCAGATCAGAACATCGTATTCTAATTTGACATCCTCACCTGACATTCATCTTATAATTAGGAGTAATTAATC